CTTTTTTGATGATAGCAGGTTATTTTTCGTAGAAAGTTTAGAACGCAGGAAAAATGACTTTTAACAGACTTCGATGAATAAATTGTCTTCATAGTCATGATAAATATAATTAGTCATAGGCTAAGGTTTCATTGATCTTGATATTGAAGATACGACAATTCAAATTCAAGAATCCAAGAGATTATCACCCGGACTTTCAACTTCTGTAGTAGACATTGTTAACAAACGACTTAGCGATCGTCAGGTTGTCTTCAAGTGGCCCAGAAAACATACGCTTCGAATATATTTAAATTTTTTGAACATGAATTTAAACATGTGCAAAGCTGTAAAAATGTGAGAAGCAATATTTTGACTTCTTACTTACCTTACTTCTGCTACATGAATAACAGAAATTGTTTCGCTGAATAAGTCACAAGTACACCTAGAAAATGCAACAATTAAATTAAAATATTATAATTTCATTAATAATATTACGTTGTTTGTGATTTTAAAAATCGTAAATCATGAATACTATAAAGAAGTAAAGTTCTTACTTTACTTTGTTGTTTGTAGGGGTAATCTACGGAAATACTGATCTGATTATGAAAATTCTTTCAGCTACAGGAAGCTACATCATACACGGCTGACATTAACTATAATTTTCGGGGGAAACCCGCGATAAACAGCTAATAATTAATAAATGTTAAACACGTAATGATAAGCTGAATAAGCAAACTCAGCCCTTGTAGCCCAGCCACAGGGACACATATGTCGCAGTAAATAAAAAAACTAAAAAACCATTAATATTAATGGTATTTTTCTTTTAAATTATGATTATTAGATGTCTAAAGAGTCTGAATGATTACTTTACTTCTTATAACCTTATGTTCCTGAGAGGGATAAAAAGTAAAACGATAGAAAAGACAATTCGCCAAATTTATGGTCAGAAATAACGCAGTTAATGATCGTATATTTTACTCATATAATTATAATCTAAATGAAGGAAGTGTAACAAAGTCAAATACCGCTGGGATAATTTAATAAAACGGCAAATTCAACCAGGATTTCTACCAACAAAATTGTTATTCGGTCTGTACCGTATCAAATTCAGGCTGTAAACTTTGTTTCGCAAATATGCCCGGGCGACGAATTTAAATTTCCATTTATCAAGTATCAAACCCGTTCCATTCGTTACGCCACCAAATGATATTGCATTGTATCATGATTCCCATCTGGATATCGAATAGGAATCTAAAACGGAACTAAAGGGGCTCGAAATTACAAAGGAAATGAAACTCTTAGTGAAAGTAAAAAGAATGAAATCCAAATAATAGTGTCGGCTAATGCAGAGGATGCGAAAAATGAAAATAGCGTAAGCGACACAGCTTTTGTTTATAGAGAAACTCATTTTATTGTAACGTATAAAAGATTACTATCGAGGGATGCTACAATTGATGGGTGACATAAGTTTTGAAACCCGTAACATATTAGCAGTGACAAAATACGGTTGTCAGCGTGATGCGGGGATTTATTACTTGTATTTGAATTTTATATATCATTAGTTACCCTAATTGAAGTACCATAAAGTTTAGTTTAATCTATGAACGTGTGTTAATGTTTCTCATACCCCCCATTGTTATGTGAATCAAATAATTAGGATAAGCGTAACAAGGCACTCGATAATAATTTCTATTGTTACAATGTCGCTTCATTTGTTGATATGTAATTTAAAAAATAACTGGACCTACGAGAAGTGATATTTAATTAATATTTTTTTTACGTTGCAGATTTTAAAATATTTTCAGGATGGATTTGGTCTATGGTTACTAGTAGCAGATGTTAATCATTCATACAGCCAGTTGCACAAACATCCATTAAAATTTTCATTACTTTAAAGCGACTTTACCCATACAAATTTGACATTCATTAGAGCTTAAAGGCGTCATTAAACCTTAATGGACCTTTGTGCAAATGATCGTAAGTGTTCTTTTTTAACAATTATCGTTGAGAATGAATTACTTATAAAGAAGAAGTGTGATAAATATTTCCTACAAAGTTTTTGTCAACTTTTAGAATATTTACAAGAAAATTATTCTGTATTTTCATTGATTTTTAAAATACGTTTCGAATAACCGTCAAATAAATCCCACGAACCCCAGAACTATGGACCCATAAAGCTTAATACCTACAGTTGCACACTCAAATAGCAGTTCGTTCGTAAACGAGAACGTACTGATTAAAAACAAATTCATGTTCCAAATTCAAACAGATAGTGATAAAAGGTGGACACGCGGCCGGCTGTTAAGTTGCAAACTTTTTTTGCAACAAACCAAAAGATTTTATAGGAATATAAACTCTTTGGATTTGGAAATAGGGGCATCGACAAAGATGTAAAGAGGAAAGGGAATAAAAGCGGTAATATGGCTGCCACGCGGCGAAGCGTCCCTCCATAGATAATAAATGCTTTTAGCAAATAATTACGTTGTTTGATTTTAGATGGATGATGGTCGTCGTGCAAACATTTGGTCGTGAATCCGGTCGTGGGAGAAGCCGTAGGATCACCGTTGTTTATACGATAATTGGCTCTGAAGCATGGGGAGGAAATTTTGCACAAGAATCGTTGAATCACTATTAATGATACGTCAATAAAATGCTACCCTTCGTAAATCATAGTACAAATTTAGTGTTTATAATAATATCAACAATTTTTTTTAAATAAGTGAAACAATGATTATTGTTTGTTTCATATATTTTACTTGAATCAATTTCTAACTATTTCAATATATTTTTTTAAATAAAATATTTCTAATAATTTAAGAATTTAATTTTCATTGTTCTTCTAATATAGACTTAGATTAAATAGTAGGACTTAAAATAGAATTTACAGATACTTACATTAATAACCTTCTAATTCAGATACCTACCGCATATTAAACCAAGTGGTTGGTAAGACAGAAATGTCTCAAATAGTCCCGAAGGACTGAAAGATTCATTACCACTATTCTAAAATTACTTGCGAAATTTCACAGCGTCGATGAATACAATGGATTACAATATATGCCATTTATTTCAAATTGATATGTCTACGTGTTTTAAGAAAAGGCTACACAAATATAAATATGTACACAGATATACAATACAGTTATTGTGTATAGATTTATTTTATTCTAGTAATAGACGTGTTTTTCTATATATTAATACGTGAAGAAAAAACTTTGGACTCCTTTTTACGGAAATTGCGAGACGGAGGAGTATGAAATTTGGCACACTTATAGTTTATATGTAGTAGAAGTGCAAACGGCTAATATTTTTCAATTATAATGCTTATAAAGTACATTAAATTGATAAATAAAACATTACACACACTACTATGCATTTGGCACACACTAACAAGTATTTGCTACACGCATACATGTGTATGTACATACTCTGTGGTCAAATTGTTTCTTTGACATAGAGTTTGTTGGTTTCTTTTGAATATTGGCTTCGCACGGTTTGTGCAAGTTGGCCAGTGTCAAGTTTTATATGTTTACCATATACATATTATGTTTATATTTTTGTGATTTTTACTGTGGTTTTACTGAATGTCAAAAGATTTTCGATTTCAGTAATAACTTCTAATTGAAATTTATTATGGTCGAATTTCAATCACTGGGCGACCACTAGTATTGTTAAATATATCTGTTTTATGTCAAATAAAGAAAATTATAGTACCGGATTAATTACTCACGATTGTTACGACAAAATTATCCGTTCCTTAGATTTTTATAATAATATTAATAAGAATAATGAAAGGAGTCTGAATTATCATCACATGATCTTGTTTATTCTATTCAATAATATTCGAGAGAAAATATATAAAGTAAACCCATTAAATCGCTTATCATGGCAAGGTTTTGATATTTACATATTGTGGGAGTGAAATGTGTGTATTACAGAATATAATATAAAAAAGCGTAGATTGAAAAGATGAATGGGCGGTTTTCGTTCAATCGATAAAATCCTTAGAAATTCACTGAGAGAAAATTACATCTTTGTCCTATCTAAAAATAGACTCTTATACGGTATGTAGCTTTCATTTTTAGGACGGTTCGAGAAATTTATTATCGTCTCTTAATTTGTTGAATTATTATTTAATATAAATATCTTTTGTAGAGCTCTGTTTTTTACGTCGATTCTTAATAATGACACTTAAAATGTTGATCAAAGCTGATCAACATTTTAAGTGTCATTATTATAAATATGAATGCTATAAATGAATTGTAATTAATCCAAATGTGATTATATCCAAACATATAGTAACTAGTCAGTCGCTTAGAATAATTAATAGAATAGTAAACTCTTTGTTTGGCAACAATTTCAAATTTGCACCGACGTACGGCTCAGCAATATGCTGCATTATTTAAACGTGCATTGCATTCCACATTTCATCAAGGTTTCGAAATGTAAAATGTATGTTCTGCTTTAATGTGTACTACCTATAATATTTTTTGCTATGCCTAATTACTTTTAATGAATCTTCATTTGAATTGGATTTTTTTCGTCTTTGATTAATTGGATCGCCGGTTGAACACCGGTTTTAAGGTGTAGCTATCACTGAGGTCCCGAGTTCGACTCCTAATAAATGAATTATAAAAAAATAAATTATGATGAAAACGTACTTATAATAAATAGAAATTGTTACACGTTTTCCTCTTAATCGAAAGTTCAAATTGTTTGTAAAGATATTTCTTTTACTTTTTAGCAATACAAAAACTGTTTCCACATCTGTCCATCTGTTATTCTGTTGTGATTCTAGATCGTGTATTATGTAAATAAATCTTATCATACTTTCAGTTTGGGATCTTGTGTAAGCTTTGGGGTGGTGTGGACGGAGCTTAATATCTATGCGTGCGCTTATATATCCGTTTGTAACTAATTACCTTTAGGTATATCTAAAAAAATATGCATTCATAATGATATAGTATAAGCAATAGCAGGAAGTCGACTTGATTGAACAATGGAAAATACTCCACCAACAAGAGAAGGGATGCTATATTGAAATTTATTTAAAACTAGTTTTCTGCCAGGCCTTAAATTGTACATAGTATGCACCTTTCTCTTAAATCACTCTGTATAATTATGACTAAACGAGTTAATATCCGTTGTGATACAAATAGCGGGAAGCGACTTTGTTTCTTATTATGTATAGTTACTATATAGTTTTTTTTTATATTAAATTGATGGAAATAGGCACAGTAGTAAAGCGGCAAATGTGAAAAATGTTTAAATTTTAAATAAAAAGTTTCGTTGGCTCTTGGTTATAACCGAGCTTCTTTCTCGAGTCTTCTGAAGTAAGTATACATCTAAAATAATTTGTATATTTTTAATTCAGTTCTTCTATAATTAATTGTTTTTATTTAAAACGCTATACTATAAAACTAATAAATGAAATTTATTATTGAAATTCTCTGCATTTTCATCGACGAACAATGGAGATATACAGGTCCATATAAACATTTTTATTACGCAGATGGAATGCCTTGTCATTCGTCCCCCTAATAAATCCAGTAAATACCGGATTCCAAATGGATCAAATTAGAAATAACAAGAGGTCTTTGTTGACAAACGCATAAATGAAAATGAGGAAATTAAATATAAAAATTTTATTTTTATCTCTAACAAACAGTAGATTCCTAAGAAAATATATTCCCTTTTTGCCAAATATCATCGAAATCACATAATTACATACATTAAATGATTGGCATGATGCTTTCATAAATTATTTAAATACTAACAATGTACATTACAGCGATATATTTACAAAAAATATAACATTTCATTTAGTTTGAAAACTCAATATTAGTTTTAGCACATAAAAATATTTATTCACTTTCAAAAGTCTATGCATTTTCATTTAAAGCAAGATCAAGAGTATTGCGAAAGATTTTGTACCTCGAAACTTGTATCATTATCACTAACTACGTCTATTTGTTCTTGTTCATTATCGCAGAATGACTCTGAGCTATTTTTATTACAAGATGCTTTAGTGCAACAGCATTTCTTGGTTTTCTCGCACGAGATCATGGGGCTTTCTTCTTTCTTTAGCTTGACGCGGCGATTTTGGAACCAAATCTTCACTTGTTTTTCTGATAGCTTCAACCTCGATGCGATCTCGATTCGCCTCAACCTCGACAGGTACATATTCATTGAGAACTCCCTTTCGAGCTCCAACAGTTGAGTACCAGTAAATGCTGTCCTGATTCTTTTACTAGAATCCTCTTTCAGAGGAATTCGTTTCATATCTTTCGAATAACCAGGCAGGAGTTCTTCTGGGTGTGCTAGAGGAGGACTTGGGGTATCATTTCTGCTCTCACTCGAAAGAGAAGGGGACCTCTGACCTTGACTTTTCGACGGAGAAGTAGCTGTCGATTTATACGGATGATGAAGGTATGGAGAAATCGACTTCTTCCGTTTGCTTACAAAGTTGATCGGTTCCTGTTCTTCTGTTTTTAAGTATCCATCGAAAGGTCTTGATTCACTATGCACTGGCTTGAAGAATTCTGGCTGTCGCGGTAGTTGATGAAAAACAGGGTAGCGAAAATTCAGATGCTCTAGAAATGGTCTGAATAGATCTGGCGGTCTCTGTTGCTGTTGCAGTCCCAGATTCAGTAGATTATTTAAATTTCCAGGATAAGGGTACGGCATAAATTTCGGTTGTGTGTCAAAGTGTTGGTTAATCAAATTTGTGTACGGACTCAGTGTATCACTAGACATACTTGTCTTTTTACAGTCTTTGCTGTCACTGATCAGGGTATCGACTAAAAACGAGCGGGACATTTTTCGCGTGGCTCTCGGCTCAGCGTATGCTTCAAGACTGATCTGTAAGGGTGGACTTTTCTAAAGTAACAATTACAAAAACTACCCCCACTTACGGCACCCCATTGTAAATAAACACAATAGGTCTCACTCGAAGCGTTTCGGCAATTATGTGGCCCGTCCCACCCTTTTGTCGAGGAAACGTCAACCCCAGTGATGTTTGAAAAAAAAAACGTATGAATGGAGCATTTTAGTAGCTATGAATAATTTTGTATGGGACGCTAACATCCCTAATATCTATCTCATTCAATCCAATTTGGTTACTGTTATTGGCGGTGCCGTCCTGTTTTAATACTTGATTCTCTTTTTAGTTATATTTTATAGCGGCATTTTTTTAACTTAGATTTGTTAGTTCTCAAATCTTCAGTAAAATCTTACCATTATACTTTGTTTTTTTTTTATTCAAGAAATAAACCCAAAATTGATATTTGGCTAGTACATTTAAAAAAAATCAAAACTTAGGTAATTTTTCTCATATGGTCTCTATATTTTCATTCAAGCAAGCGTTTATTTAGATATGAGTAAAAAACTCGATGAGAAACTTCTCATACTCAAGCAGCAAAATCAAATCTCCAACTATCAAAACCCTTCAAGTGCAACACAGAACACCATATTAATTAAGTATGAATACCCTATAATAAAAGCCTTATGGTGCACACGTGATTTTGATACTAGGGACCCGAAAGAAGGGTGGGCAAGCCATAGCCCCGCCCTGCAGAATCTGACCCTTGTGAGAGACTAGTTTATGAAATATTAAAATGTTCGCATAATGCTTGGTGGCATTATAATTGTGAATCAATTCGTGTTATTACAACGTCAGATTTAATAAAAGACCGTGTTGTAGCTTAAGTGGTTTGTGATGTTGCTGATTTTGTTATGAAAGGGTATTTATCTGATGTAAAGACTTTAAGAGATGTCACGATATTTTTTTATATGCAGACTTGTATATGAGAATTATAACGGATTATTGTTAGTTTTTTATCTTAAATAAACATATAAGCTAATTTTAATTTCTTAGATATTGTTTCCTTTTTACTAACTATCACTTTTAAATCGCCAGACTGAGAACTAACTGCCGAAATAAACTAAGATAGAGTTGTAGAAATTAAAATAATGTTAGTATCCAATTGTTATTATTTTAATTATTATTTAAAAATGGACCCTCGAAACATGTGGATAGAAATAGAAATTCTATAAAAGCAATCTGTGTTTTGAATGTTGTTTGAATAGTGTACGCGAAAATATAAAATACGAATTTATGTATTTACGGTATGTGATGTTTAAATAGTTTAAAATATAATAAACTAGATTGCGATGACTGAAAATAGCGTTTTTAAATGTTATTTCAAGATTCATTATCAATAAGGAATCTTTATCTTTTATTCAGTTAAATATTTTTTTTATTTGCAACACGTATTCGACATTCATATGACTACTAAATAATAATAAAGAAACTATACGTTAACCCTAAACGCATTCCTTTTCGGGCAGTAGTGAAATATAAAATATAACATATACGTAGTTTTCAAATTTTCAAGCAGACTACAAAACTTGAAAGGGTTGACAATGATAGTTAACTTATACTACAATAAAAAGATCAAAAGATCCTAACGCCAAGACGAATACAAAAAAAGACACAAAACTCTTAGGTATTGTTAAATATCCGCCAAACCGAAAGATAATCACGAATCGGAACAAACAAACAAAGGATCTGATGTAACAATAGATATAAAAGTAAACATTGCTACTTCGATGCTTCTGATCGCAAATTTAGCAGTTGCTAAAAATGTTGATCTTATATTAAGGGTCATAAAGTTTATTATAGGGTTTGTAACAATAAATTACGCCCTCGCAAATCTGGAGGATCATCTGGACAGACAGATGATGAAGGGTTAATATTAGTCAGTTGGGGTAATGGATAATTGTCTATTTGTAAATAAAAGATAGCCAGGTGCTGTGCGAAAGAAAATAGTGTTTTTTTTTTTTAAAATGAAACTGATTCTTTTCTTTTATAATTTGTATAAAATAATATATCTTAGTCAAAGAAGATTTTTAAAACTAATGCATTATTTTTGACTTAACACATTCGTAACCCTTGAGGAGCTGGATGGCGCAATGGTTAGCGCGTCCGGTAAACGATACACTTGTTAATTTTGAACGTGAGTCATAAGATGGGTGACCACAAAATATTTCGAACTCCTTCGTTCTTCGGAAGGCACGATATTTAGCCTGTCCCAGCTGCAGCGGAAATTGTAAACTCCCACCAATCCAGACTGAGCTCGCGTGTGGTATCCCTATTCGATTCGTTTATGTCCCAGCAGTGGGGATATTTAAGTGCTTAAAGCTCCATACTCTTGAAAGGTACTAAAATAGAAAAGAGGTTACATACATTCGCAATCTCAAACATTCTAGACAACATTGTGGAAGAAAATATGCAATCGTGGTTTGTCTTTTCTCACCGCTAATTCAGAAAATATAATCTGCAAATTGTCCATATTTAAATTATATACGCACAGAAATGCCATTACCACAGAGTATCAAAATTATGATAACTATCAAGTCGCAGAAGTTCGATGCTGGGTGGTCCTTGTACGAGTAGTTCAGTAAGTACTCTCGATTATTATAACAGAGTTCTATCGCATGAATCCTAGCCGATATTTCTTCTTGTTTTTCTTTCGTTATACTTTTTTTAATTGAACCATACCATTATTATTGAAGTTAAACCTAAGATTAATAGTTATTTACGGGATTGTACTTACCGTGTGCGTTTATAGAGTTCCACATTAAAAGAGCAAAGATTAAAGCCATAAAACCTTTTGATACCCTTCATTGTAATATTTCTTAATGAACAACAACGTAGGTAAATTGGATTTCATTTAAAATGCCTTTAAGCCATTTACAAAGTCAAATAGAAGTTAATAGAATAACACAAAGCGAATGAAATCAAAAAGGCGAAACGGAAATGAGTGCAGAAAAGCTATTTAATTACCACCTGCGCATTGTCCATCAAAACGACAGGTTCCAAGAATGACTTCTATGTGTATATGACAATGCGTCGCCTTCGAGTCTGGAGTTACGCTATAGGGACACTTGTCCGTTTCATTCAACAATTTTTACGTTCATTGATAGATTTAGCCACGGTAGACTTATGAATGAGAGTATAGGCACTATTGTTGCATTGTCGATCCTCAAGAGGATAGCAGGTATGCTAAAACTTACATTTCCATCCTTGCGGCCCTGACTATCGTTATCTTTACTAATAACCCAATAAAAAGGTTCAATTCTGATTGGCAATCGTTTATAGGACCGCAAAATAGATTCGCTTATGAAATATCGCGTGTTATTTTTTAACACAAACGGAGAGTATTCGGACTCCATTAAGCTTTTATGGGTTTTATTTATTGGGAAGGATGTCAAATGTTTGTGCCAATTTTAAGTTTTTCCATTCAGATGCGTAAAGTTATGGTCTTGTTTCCTTTTATGAGTGGAATAGCCGACGATTGTGTTACGATTCTCACGGGTCAGTGGTTTGTTGGTTGGATTAGAATTATTTTTTTGTATCGATTCTATTGAGGTGGAATATATTGTTTGATTATATCCAAATTGTATTTTGAAATTTACCAAACCTGAGAATAAAAAATAATATATGTCTATAGAATAAATATTTAGCTTGCCGTTTAGTTGAAACGATAAATCTAATTTATGTTTTACAAATCAACGTTATTAAAATTATATTTTCCATGTTCATTCTTCATTCCGTTAAATATATGTGACATACGGAAATTTAAGTAAATGGAAGAGAAAAGGAAAGAAGAGCTTATTATAATAGTTAGCACACATGGCATACACAAAAACAACAAAAACTACTTTTTTTAAATACATAACTGTCAGACTTTGAGGTATTTTCATAATTCTAAGTCTTAATGAAGGTTTTCTTTTTATTTCTATAAATAACAAGAAAACCACAATGAAGGTTATGGTATAGAAATATAAAAAAGACATAAATATAGTTTTATATCCTATATATAGAACTATTTTTTATATCTCCTTTTGTCAATATTTTAAGATTAATGATTTCGATGATTAAAGGGAGGGGGTGATGCTTAAAATATACTTAAAATATACCCTATAGCCCAACTAAATAGCTATATCACTTAGCATAGTGTGAAAAAAATTTGCTTCTTTTATTTTTAATTTTCCAATTTAACCTTTAAGCAGAGGCCGCCATGTTACAAAGTCATTATATCTATGCGACCGTCTTCGAGTCACTGACTTGTCTAATGATATCTGTACCAAATTTCATTTTAATAGGGATGGACCTGGAATTATTGGTAGCTTAGGAGTAAACCAGCTTTGGCTAATGGACAGAGAAATAGATAAACGATTGATCCTAAAAGAGAACGGTCTTTTCATTTTTAATACGGGTCTCCAAAATATTATAATTTAGAATCCGTAACTTTAAGCAACTACGAAAAAATAGTAAATGTGAGTGAAGTTCATATATTTCGGTGTTTTTTTTTACAAAAAAAATCATAATTATTCTGTTTGTTATAGAAAGTTATAAGCAAAAATCAGTTATCTCATATTTTCAGCTGTTAATTCAGAGTTTTTCGACAGCTCACTATTAAGAAGATAACTTAAAAAAGGTAGCCTGTTAAAAATAAAATATTATTATATTAAAGTCTCGTTGATTCTATTTAGAATGAAAGAGAGCTTTCAATTATAGCACACTGTCAATTTGGGAAGGAGCATTAACATTTGGAGCATGACTCTTTGTAATTTTTAAGCATTAGATTATGCTTATGAAAATAGGGTTAAGTTAAAATTGAAAGTCACCCGCTACTGAGAGTCAACTTTGCAACATCAAAGCGCAAAATTGATGGAGTTCAGACCCGCTCTGTGAAAGGGTAACTTAATTTTTCGATAAAACGAGTCCGGCCGTCACTGTTCGTGTGTTTCGT